CGGCCAGCACTGCCTCGGCCCACGCCTGCCTGGGTTTGCTTTCACAGGGCCAACGAACGGTGAGAAGGCAGCTGGGAGGGGGAAAACCACCAGATTCCTTCCACCCTCGAATCAGGGGGAGCAGCAGTTGGGGGACAAAGCGCAGGAGCAGAGCACTGGGCTGAATGCTCCTGCAGCTCCCCAGGAAGCCCTGGTGCCGTGCTGCAGCTCACCCCCAGCTCCAGCCCCACACGTCCTCCACGTGCCTCCCCGCTCCCCCTGCACAAAGTGATGCTCCAAGCCTTCCTATCAACACCCCTGAAACAGCTGCTCTGCCTGTGCCCCACCCCCGCCGCGGGACCATGTGCCTGCCACCCCAGAGGGTGTTTTCTGCCGCATGGGGAAAGTCAACCTGGCGGAATCAGGTGCCCCATGTAGTTCAGCGATGGCTGACCAAGGAAGGAGTCTGAGAGCTCCAGAGCGCTGAGCCCATCTGCCTGCCCAGAGGGAAGAGAGAAAGGCTGGGGCATCCTTGGGATGAAGCACTGGCGAGGCGCTAAGCCAGCGGCCGTGGGTGATTTATCCCACACCGCGCTTCCACTCCCATGTAGGGATCCGCTTTGCTGTGCTCAGAACCACCCCGGCCGGAGGATGTGGCACCCAGGGCCGCGCGGAGGGAGGTTGGGATCCTACCCCAGCACCACGCCCAGCTCCTTGACGTGGACTCTCATCTGGCCCTTGAGATACTCGGACAGCATCTTGCTTTTGAAATACAGCTCCTGCAGCCGGTCCTCCAGGTGCATGACACACTAGAAAGCAAAGGGAGTCGTGTCAGGGACAAGACAGCTCGACACCCACACCGCACCCGGCCTCCGCGCAGACCCCACACGCCTATCGCCTCTTCCCTGGCCGTCTCCAGGTGGAGGGTGAGCGAGATTAAGAGCCTGGCCAGGCTCCTAGTTTTGAGCAGAAGCCTTGGATTTCATGTTAAACCAGCATTCCCGAGGCAGCTGCCTCGCTCACAGAGCGGCGTTTGAGCCGACAGCTCCAACAGCTACATCGGGGGCGTGCCAGCAGCTCAAACCGTGGCGATGGATGAATAAACCAGGCAGAACCTTGCAACCTCTTTCCCCTCCGAAGCCAAAGGACGCTCACGACTGTCATTCACACTTACGAAGTTCGGAGACAAATTATGCTTGTAAAGCTGAAGAGTGGAATGCAGCAGGTTGGAGACGAGACTGGAGACTAACACTTCTTTTCCCAGCTTATTATCGATCATTCGTCTCTGGCTACTGGCCACTTGCACCGTCCACTTGTCCACGTCCGCAATGATGCAGACTGCCTCCGCGATCGGTTCATCCAGAACAGGGTGCTAGAAACGAGAAACGAACAGCGGGACCCTGAGAACAACGAGCGACAACGCCCCCTGCGCAACACACGGCCACCCTGGGTGGTGTCGCCGACAGCGCTTCGCCTAAAATGCAGCCGCACGTGCTAGGAACTGCGTTCCACCGACTCACGACGGTAGCGTAGGCAGGACGCTGCCTTAAATGGAAAGCTGCTGCTTTTCTTTCACTTTCCTCCAGGCCTGAAAGTGTGTCCCTGGCTGGACAAGGGAGTCCAAGAATGGGACTACAAGGAAGCTGGGGGGGGCTATTTGCAAGGGCAGGGAGTGACAGGACAAGGGGTAATGGGTTTAAATGGAAAGAGGGAGATGGGACATCAGGAAGGAATTCTTCCTGCAGAGGGTGGGGAGGCACTGGGACAGGTTGCCCAGAGAAGCTGTGGATGCCCCATCCCTGGAAGTGTCCAAGGCCAGGGTGGATGTGGCTTTGAGCAACCTGGTCTAGTGGAAGGGGTCCCTGCCCCCGGCATGGGGGCTGGAACTAGATGATCGTTAAGGTCCCTTCCAACCCAAACCCTTCTGGGATTCTGGGATTCTATGACCTAAAGTGTATTTTAATCCCCCAAACCTGACAGCTGCCCCAGCTCGGCCTGGCAGGCGAAGTGCCGGTCTCCATGCTGGAAGCCAGCAGAGGGAGTGGGGAGCCCAGCATTCGCCCAGCTCCTCCCGGCCGCAGCTCCCAGCCAGGCAGCCTTTAAAACCAGGAGCGTTTGGGACCTCACTGTCCTTTCCCAACACGTTTTTCTGGGCAGGACTGTTAGGAAGCATCTCCCTCCAACGAGTCCCACAGGACTTGACACAGGGCTAGGACACAGTCGTTATTTTCCTTGAAGATAAACACACATAAGATCTTGCATCCTCTCGGTCTTTGCCTTTGGCAGTGGCAGCTCAGGCCCGCTGTCGGGATGTATTTCGGACATCCCCGTTCCACAGCAGCAGGTACCTCACGCTGCTGCCCCAGGTTCAATTACACTTCACAAACGGCTTAAACCAGGCCCAGAAGAGCGAAGCTGGCTGCCTGCTCGCGGGTCCCTCCCCATTCCCTTGGGAATAAACTAGAGGGGAGCAGAATCACGCTTTTCAGTGCCAGCCTGCTTCCCACACCTCTCCCGGTGAGTGTAAAAGGGGTAGGAAACACCCCGCTTCCCAGCTGGGCCCCAGTTCATCCAGGGAATAGCTTCTGTGGAGGCGATTCCCAGCACATGAAAAGCGTGATTCCCCTTAGGGCAATTCTCTTTGCACTGGTTTCAAGTTACTGAACATTCCTGGTGGCTTCACCACAGAGAGCACCTTCTGCCTTGCGAGCAGCAGCCTGTGGCTGGACGTGCACGGGAAGAGGAATCCCGAGGGAGCTTCTGCACAGCCACTGCAGCAAGACTCCGCGCCCGGGAAGAGACCCCCAGCGACTGCAGCGCTGGGGCTTGTTTAACGTCATTCCGTGCGGGCACGCAACCATCGGCGGGCCGCCACGTCTGCAGGAGACGACGATTCCCCCACGGCTTAGCACAGAGATCTGTCTTCCAAAGGGCACGAGCTCTCAGCTGCCTTCAGCTGGAGACTCAGGTTTTGTGCTCCAGACTTGCAGCGAAAATAGCCACGTTTTTCAGATACAGTAATGATGAGAGGAGAATAAATGGGTGACCTGGGACTGGGGAAACCTGGAAAGAGCTGTGACAGTAAATATTTCCACTTCCAGCAGGTTTGTACATCCAAAAACATTTTTTTTTTTTGTGACAAATACATTTACCAAATATAGCTTAATTACCTGCACAGCGTGAGACAAATCTGACACCAAACAGTGCCTCAGCTTTTCATCACTTCCTATTCCTTGCAAAACAAAGTCAGGGACGTAAGATGAACAGTAGCCACCTAGTAAGGATCTTCCAAAATTGGCAATACTGGGCTGGACAGAGTTCACTTCAACTAATTTTGATCTGCGGGAAAAGCATAGGAGAGAGATGCACAACAGTAAACAACACCGCTTACAGAGAGGCTGCATCTTCCCATTTATCATCTCTCTTCTAGTTTCCATTCAATCACTTTTTAAAAGGAAAGGGTTTAAAGTCGGAGCATTGTGGAAGAAAAGGGGATGAGCCAAGATCACGATGCACAATTCATATTTTTTTCCAGACCACTGATCTCTCTACATTCTTTCAGACCCAGCAAGCTCAAGAGACACTTTTCCAAGCACTGATGCCAAGTGAGGCTACATTCCTCCCAACATGTGACATGAGAAGAGGCTGTATCTTTTTTAGGCTCTGTTTCTGCTGAATAGTACTCACCCAGGGAAAGGAATCTCGTATTCTTCTGCCCAGTCTTCCTGCTCTCCTCCGTAATAGTTACCACCGGGTCTGGCTAGCTCATGACCTGTATCCTCACTTTCACTGTCGCCCAGGGCACTATCCGAACTCTCATTTCTTGGAATGTCCCAATCAATTCCTGGGGCGACTTTTTTCTCTACGTTTTCCCTGTCCCCATGGGGGACACGAATAGAGATTTTCTCTCTTTGGTCCTGCTCATTAAAGCAATTTTTGTAGGTCTCTTGCCGAAGAGAGTCCATGAACTTACAAAATTCGCTAGGTGGTTTGCTGGGCTTTGCACAGAGCTTTTTAGAAAACTCAAAACTACTGCTGTGAGCAAGAAGGTCCGTGGCTGCTTGCCCTGGAATATCGTCAATAGTCCGGGTTTCAACTGAACTGTCATCAGTAAAATACTCATCGAACAGACTCATGCTCTCAGCGTTGTACGGATTCGGATTCCAGCTCTGATGCTCACGAGCAACTTGAGGAAAGGGTTCAGCTGTCCCACAGTCTCTATTTTGGTCCTCAACAGTTTGTTTAGCTTCACAGTTCTGATCAGCAGACACTCCTTCCTCCGCTGCTGGCGGGCTGTGATGCCTAGCAATTTGTTCCACTACTGCCTGACTTCGGAGTTCGATGTCTGAATCGGGCGACATGGAATCCCCGATGAGGAAAGTCACCTTTGTCTGCGCCTCGGCAGCGCTGCAAGGAAACGCCGCGCAGAAGAGCTTATCCGGCGGCTTCTTCTCCACAGCGATGCCGGGTGACCTCGTCACGCTGACCGCCTGGCTGCCCGATTCCAGCGCGTCTTCCTTCCCCCAGGCGTTTGCCGTTGGCTCCAAGCCAGGTTCCATCGCGACACGCTTTTCTGGGGCAGCTGACCCCGTGCACACCACAGTCTCGAGTTTTGTGTCCAGGCAGGGTCTTGGTGGCTTCACATCGACCACATCGTCTTCCTGGCAGTCATCAGGAACAATAGTTGTGTTCTCATCCGAAGAAGATTCCAGCTCCACCTTGGGAGTGTTTTGCGCGTCTTCCCTCTCTTGCTGCGGAACGCCTTCTACGTTCTGTGCCAGGGAAGTGGGACATTTGCAGTATCTGCAGCTGCAGTTCGGGGTCCTCACGTCTTCGGGCTCCGTCGGCAGCAAGTTGCCCCTGTTCTTGTGCATCGTGACTAGCACATACTCCGATTCTTCCACTTCTCCTTTCTCCAGCGTGGTCGTTATAACAGTTCCAGGCATGACGATGGCTTCATCTTCCCCATTTTCTAGAAGATGAGTCTCTTGAAGCTCGGAGCATCGGATGAAGTAAGTAAGGAAATAAAGCAACCTCTGGACCAGGTCGTGCCTTTTGCCAACCACAACTGTTTTGGCCAATCTCACGGGTGATCCGATGGCCCCATACAGGTCACCTGCAACAGGAAACAACACCATCATTTTGCATCTTTACAAGAAACTACTTTTCTAACAGACAGTTGCTGCGGCCGCTTTTCCAAGGCCAGGTCTACAACAGAAAACGCTAAAGCAGGAGCGGGAGGACAGCAATGCCAGTATTTTGTTTTCAATACGGGGAATCCCAACGATGCTGTGGGTATCGTGTGTAAGGTGACGCGCTGGTCAGGGAGACATCTGATCTCACGTATTAGGGAGTATTCGCACCACCTAACTTCAGTCCCCAGCTCTGAAAGCTCCTCTCCTGGGTTCCTTATATAGCCATGGGAGAGAGGAGGCATCTGCTCTGAATTACCCTGGATAGTCTGGAAACTGGGCTGAACTTTTACCCACCAAGAGAAAGCTGTGGGGAGAAACAAACTTACGCCAAGAACGAGGGCAAAAAGGGACAGTGGCGGGTGCAGAGCCAAAGCCAACATCCTTCCCTCCCCTCCCCTCGAGCTCTGCGCTGGGAGGGTTTGTTTTGACTCCAGATCCACGTGGGGAAGTGCCAGTGCACGTGCTGTTCTGCGGGTATTCGGGCCCTGCGTGGACGCAGGGGTGGGGGACAAGGGATCCAAGCGGCCTCGAAGGCTGACCTAACCACAGGGGATGCCTTGAGTCCCACGAGCTCTGAAAGCATCTTCCTGCCAACTCCCTACCCATTCCTGCCTACACCCCAATAGGGTAACGCCACAAAACTTTCCACTCCCTTTCCTAACCGAATTCCATGAGGGTTTGTGCGCAGAGAAGGAGAATCTGACCAGAGAGCAGGAAGCTCAGCTCACCTCCTCTACTCAGAGGAGACAGCACGACTAGCTGCCCTATCAACTGGGCTTTGAGACCTTACCCGAGTCACGATTCCCTGTACTGCGCTGCTCCTTCACCTGCTGTATCGAGAGGAGGTTTATTTCTTATCAAAAGCTACATTTCCTTGCTTTGGTCTTTCCAGAATCAGGCTTACTGACAGCATCCCCAAAAAGAAAAACTGTTTTTTTCCTTACAGAAGGAGGACCGGAATCCTCCATCATCACCAGGGCAGGTGACCGTGAGAGACCTACCGTAGATGACCACAGAGGGCTTTGATTTTTGGCTGCTGTTTCACAACTGATAATGCCTTAAGAAATTCCAGCACACATTTAAAAAAAAGAGACTGACCCCCTCTAAGTTTGAAACACACACTTTTGTCCCATTTTGCATTAAACAAAAATGTTACCTTGGGGGGAGGAAGTAACAAGCATCCGTAAAAAGCACCGCACGCGGACCCGCTGACGTAAAGCTGTTGGGTGGTTAGAGGCGTTTGCCACCTACCGAGCTGTGCCCACAGCGGGTTGTAGGGATGAGTTTTGGCCAGCATGTCCACGCTCTGAGAAGAATGCTTTTCCAGGAAGATCCTTATAGGCGGCTGGCCATTCGGCATGACGGTAGGGACCCAGGCCAAGTGGTTAGTCAGGACTGCAGTCAGTAAAGCTGGTAAAAACCTGCAAGCAGAATGTTCAGCATCAGTTTCTTCCCCTGGTACACACTCAGGGTGTTAAACTGGCAGCGGGGCTATAGTCTCTGTGAATCAAGGACTTCAGAAACAGTCGGCAGAGATCATCCCGTCGGTCCTGGTTCCTTGGGGAGAGAAGGGGGGGCTGTACCCTCCCTCCTACCCCTGCAAAGCTCTTTTTTAGAGCACACACATAAAAGTAAAATGAATTATTTTCAACTTGTGGCCACTCGACTCAGTTCCTCCGCCTGGCAGTAATTATGAGACTTCCTATTTTGCAAGCTTTAGGTTGTAAAACATTTCACAACCAACTTACTTTTTTCCCTGGGAGAACACAGGGGCACTGGGTGGCCCCTGTACTCCAAGGGGATGCCAATCCCCTAAGAATCTGTCACCGCTGAGGAGAAGGAAGGCTGCTGCTGCCAAACTGTAAACCAGCTAGGTGCTGTGCTCCTTCAAACTGCCGTTACGCAACCTAAGCACAGACGGACGTTCCCTTTCAAATATAAAGCCCCAAATATAAAGTTTGTAATAGCACCGACACAAGAAACAGCTCGGCCAGAAATACTGTGTCCTTGCACCAGCAAAGCAGTTTTCACTAGCTAAGCAAGGCAAAAAACCTTCCTGAAAAATGTGATCTAATGTATTGGGCAATGGCTTTACGTGGAAAGAGGGAGATTGAACTGGGATATCAGGAAGGAATTCTTCCCGCAGAGGGTGGGGGGGGCACTGGGACAGGTTGCCCAGAGAAGCTGTGGATGCCCCATCCCTGGAAGTGTCCAAGGCCAGGCTGGATGAGGCTTGGAGCAACCTGGTCTAGTGGAAGGTGTCCCTGCCCATGGCAGGGGGTGGGACTGGGTGGGCTTTAAGGTCCCTTCGACCCAAACCACTCCATGATTCTATGATTGTAACAACAGAGGATGGTTTCTGCCCTGTGGAGGGAAGGCTCTCCTGCCCAGTCCCCTCTCCTGGCAGGAGCAGTGTGCACAAGCGCAGCCCAAGAGCTTCCTGAACGCCGACAGATGGTGCTGGTGGCCGCAGGTGCCCGGGCAGGAAAGTGCTCAAACCACAGAACCTCAAAATAATGCTAGTTCAACACTTTACACGCATCAGGAACCCCACAGGTTAATCTTAACTGTTTCCTCACTGGTAACAGCCATAAGAGAGAAGGAGATTTAAAACGGGATTGGGAAGACTTGACTTTCCTCTTCCTTCCATCTTACTGTGTTTAAAATAAAGCAAACATAACCAATCACGGAACAGTTTGGGGTGGAAGGGACCTTAAAGCCCACCCAGTCCCACCCCCTGCCATGGGCAGGGACACCTTCCACTAGACCCGGTTGCTCCAAGCCTCATCCCGCCTGGCCTTGGACACTCCCAGGGATGGGGCATCCACAGCTTCTCTGGGCAACCTGTCCCAGTGCCTCCCCACCCTCTCCAGGAAGAATTCCTTCCTGATGTCCCATCTCAATCACCATCTTCAAGATGTATAGAGCTCAGAATGGCAGGGACTGCATTTTTCCCAAGAAAAAGCTTCCACTGCAGCAGCAAATTGCTTGAGGAATATACACTTGGGGTGCTCCCAACTCCCTATAGCTGCTCCCGCTGCAGTGAGGCAGAAGAGGGTGGACCAGGCTGACTGCCAAGTGTCACCCTCTCATCTTGGAGGGGGGAAGGGACAACAGAGCTGGTGGCAGAGCTGGAAGATGGTGAGCAGCAGCCCCTTCCCCACCCTGCAGAGAGCAGTTTCCCACAGCTAACAGTCTTTCAGTGCTGTTCCCACTCAAATTTCACGTTTGTGCTTGGTTTAGGACTTCAGCGGAGCCAAACGCTTTACAAACTTCCCTTATTCATGCCCTGGGGAAAGAGGATGAAGCGTTGACAAAAGAGTAAATTTATCAGATTCTCCCCAGTTTATCAAGGACGTGCTCTTTCCCAATTTTTAACAACCGCTGGCAACTTTGTCCTGAGGGCAGGAGGGTGAGCGGTAACGAAGCCCAGAGTTCCCGCAGCAGCATTTCACAGGAGTCGGGTTTAGCAGCAACCTGCGGTCAGACGGTGTTACAGACACGGCTCTCACCGTGTCCAACCCTGCTCATCACATGCTAACTGCTTCTGAAAGGTAGAGTAATGCACCTCATAAGGCATGTTTCAGCCCCTCCCAGACACACACCTCCATCACGCGCTTCCTACGTTTCACATGTTTAGCCTCTACCAAGATTCAGGACTGCGAGGAAGCAGGCGTTTAACGAGGTGCATCGTTCCCCCCTTGTTTTAAAGGGGGTATTTACAGACAGTCTTTTGATTCTTTGATCACCTCAATTTTAAAAACAGATCCAAAACCTGGTTTGAAATAAAAAGACATAAACACATAATTTTAAAAACTAGAAATCCACCGTACTGGTTTTTCGAAGCATTTTCCATCAAGAAGGTGAACTCCTTCATGAAGCGATGGCAAAGCTGGTTCTTCTCCGGCGTCCCCGACATCATAGTAAGCCAGACGGGCTCCCCGATCCGTGGCATCGTGTACAGATTGCAAATAGTCGTTCTAGAAAACAACAAACAAAAAAAAAAATCCAGGAGACTCAAAAACCGACGAGAGGCAGCGATCCCTATTCCAGAATTTACTGCAGCATTTCCTTCCCGCTGTCATTTCTACCAGACACAAAACTTCCCTCATTAACCATTACCCAAACCACACTGTTCACTGAACAGGACGAACCCACCCTTCCACCTCGGGAGGTCAGGGTCACAGGTTCTTGGTGCGTCTCCCCGAACCGACCCCAAGCACAGCGGCATTCCCTGTCACAAGTCAAGAGTCGCCCTGTTCCGAATGGAGCAGAAACCAATGATTTTGGGTTACCATCTCCCTGCTGTCTCTCCATTTTAGTCAAGACATAGAAATCCTCCATAGTTCTGCTTGATTTATGACTAGGGGAAGTTTATGTGTATAAAAATACCTTAACTTCCTCCTTGCTTTAAAAAACTGGTGTATCCCCAGGCCAAACCCACAGAGTTTGGATTTGCAGAGTGTAGAGCAGTGGAGCAGGCTACTCCTTCAGCTTTAACTACGGCGTGTAAGAGCCAAAGTTACCCCACCATTTCTAGGATTACGCACCTACCCGCACCCTTTTTGACTCCACGAGGTCAGTACATGTATGATTAAAACCCTTGGCTCTGCAGTAAAACACCAGGCTGAAACCCCTCAGATTAGGGTTAAACTCGTCTAAAACGTAAACCCAAGTACAATGTCTACGTTGTGACACTAGGGGAACCTGCGTTCCCATCACAGTAAAAACATAAGCCTGACAAAGACCAAAACGACAACGGAAATGACTGAGAATTCAGGTTTCTCCCCACCTACTTTTTCTACAAGAGATCCATTTGCGTCCCAAGACAAAGACTGACGTTATCTCATTATCCCTGGTACCACCCCGATCTCCTCTGGGTACCCTGGGCTCAAAGTTTACAGCCACTTCCAGCAGCACAGCGATGGCCGTGCGCGTCAGGAAGGCAAACACGCTCGAGCAGCAGCTGCCAGATCTTCCCTGGTTTGAAGTGAAACTCCCTGGGAAGCGAGAGCAGCGCCGGCGGCAGGGGTACGGGGGGGCACTCAGCAGGGCAGGGATCATTCCCCCGTCATGTGGCAGAGCAGAACGCAGCTGTACGGCGACAGGATGCCCGGAGCGGCTCCCCACAGGGCAGCAGAGGTGACTGTGCACAGCACCGACGTCACTGGGGCTGCCCAAGGAAAAGGGGGGTGAGGGACAGCCCAAGAACAGCATTTTCTGCCTTATTTTTTCTACCGGTTTTCACTAAGCGCAAAATCCATCCTGTGTGTTCACAATACTCAAAATCAACCCCGTTTTCCTCAAAGCTCAGATTTTCAGGCACTCCGCAGGCCCAGCGGAGAAGCCAGAGAACAGCGCGAGGGCTGGAGAAGAGGGGGAGGTGAGGATCCCCCTGCGCTCACCAGGGCCGCGGCA